TGTGACCACCATTTGCATCATCCAGTGTGACACCTCCTTGATCAGGCTGTTGATTGTGGCCTGTGGAATGTTGTCCCACTCCTCTTCAATGGCTGTGCGAAGTTGCTAGATATTGGCGGGAACTGGAACACGCTGTCGTACACGTCGATCCAGAGCATCCCAAACAGGCTCAATAGGTGACCTGTCTGGTAAGTATGCAGCTTCCAGGAATTGTGTACAGATCCTTGCGACATGGGGCCGTGCAATATCATGCTAAAAGGTGATGGTGGAGGATGAATGTCACGACAATGGGCCTCAGGATCTCGACACTGTATCTCTGTGCATTCAAATTGCAGTCAGCATACCAATTGCACGCTCCCACAAAACTTGAGACATCTGTGGCATTGTGTTGTGTGACAAAACTGCACATTATAGAGTGGCCTTTTAATTTCCCCAGCACAAGGTGCACCTGTGTAATGATCATGCTGTTTAATCAGCGTCTTGATATGCCACACCTGCCAGGTGGATGGATTATCTTGGCAAAGGAGAAATGCTCACTAACAGGGATGTAAGCAAATTTGTGCATAACATTTTATATAAATAATATTTTCTGTGAGTACGGAACTTTTCTGGGATCTTTTATTTAATCTCATGAAACATGGGACCAACACTTTACATGTTGAATTTATATTTTTGTTCAGTGTTTTTTGAACTGTTTGGGCTAGAGGCAAGCCATTGTCTCTATAGTAATGGTGCAAACAATGGTCACAAATCTCTGGTCAGTTTATTCACATTGGCTCCCACAGGCCGCGGTACAGCGAAGCTTAAACATTAAAACAATTATTTTCTTAGTGATTTTTTTATTCAATTTGTATTTCATTTTTAAAGTCTGAGCTTCATGCGTCTCACCCGACAGCATGAGGTTGACGCCTGAAATTGTATATTTTAATCTACAGTAGTCACAAGCTACCCGGACTATTTGCATTGCCCCCCCACCCCAACCCCCTCTTTTACGCTGCTGCTACTCTGTTTATTATTCATGCATAGTCACTTTAACTCTACCCACATGTACATACAGTTAGGGAAAAAAAGTATTTGATCCCCTGCTGATTTTGTACGTTTGCCCACTGACAAAGACATGATCAGTCTATAATTTTAATGTTAGGTTTATTTGAACAGTGAGAGACAGAATAACAACAACAAAATCCAGAAAAACGCATGTCAAAAATGTTATGAATTGATTTGCATTTTAATGAGGGAAATAAGTATTTGACCCCTCTGCAAAATATTACTTAGTCCTTGGTGGCAAAACCCTTGTTGGCAATCACAGAGGTCAGATGTTTCTTGTAGTTGGCCACCAGGTTTGCACACATCTCAGGAGGGATTTTGTCCCACTCCTCTTTGCAGATCTTCTCCAAGTCATTAAGGTTTCAAGGCTGACGTTTGGCAACTCGAACCTTCAGCTACCTCCACATATTTTCTATGGGATTAAGGTCTGGAGACTGGCTAGGCCACTCCAGAACCTTAATTTGCTTCTTCTTGAGCCACTCCTTTGTTGCCTTGGCCGTGTGTTTTGGGTCATTGTCATGCTGGAATACCCATCCACTACCCATTTTCAGTGCCCTGGCTGAGGGAAGGAGGTTCTCACCCAAGATTTGACGGTACATGGCCCCGTCCATCGTCCCTTTGATGCGGTGAAGTTGTCCTGTCCCCTTAGTAGAAAAACACCCCCAAAGCATAATGTTTCCACCTCCATGTTTGACGGTGGGGATGGTGTTCTTGGGGTCATAGGCAGCATTCCTCCTCCACCAAACACGGCGAGTTGAGTTGATGCCAAAGAGCTCGATTTTGGTCTCATCTGACCACAACACTTTCACCCAGTTCTCCTCTGAATCATTTAGATTCATTGGCAAACTTCAGATTGGCCAGTATATGTGCTTTCTTGAGCAGGGGGACCTTGTGGGCGCTGCAGGATTTCAGTCCTTCACGGCGTAGTGTGTTACCAATTGTTTTCTTGGTGACTATGGTTCCAGCTGCCTTGAGATCATTGACAAGATCCTCCCGTGTAGTTCTGGGCTGATTCCTCACTTTTCTCATGATCATTGCAACTCCACGAGGTGAGAACTTGCATGGAGCCCCAGGCCGAGGGAGATTGACAGTTCTTTTGTGTTTCTTCCATTTGCGAATAATCGCACCAACTATTGTGACCTTCTCACCAAGCTGCTTGGCGATGGTCTTGTAGCCCATTCCAGCCTTGTGTAGGTCTACAATCTTGTCCCTAACATCCTTGGAGAGCTCTTTGGTCTTGGCCATGGTGGAGAGTTTGGAATCTGATTGATTGATTGCTTCTGTGGACAGGTGTCTTTTATACAGGTAACAAGCTGAGATTAGGTGCTCCTAATCTCAGCTCATTACCTGTACAAAAGACACCTGGGAGCCAGAAATCTTTCTGATTGAGAGGGGGTCAAATACTTACTTCCCTCATTAAAATGCAAATCAATTAATAACATTTTTGACATTCGTTTTTCTGGATTTTTTTGTTGTTATTCTGTCTCTCACTGTTCAAATAAACCTACCATAAAAATTATAGACTGATCATGTCTTTGTCAGTGGGCAAACGTACAAAATCAGCAGGTGATCAAATACTTTTTTCCCTCACTGTATTACCTCAATTACCTCGACTAACCGGTGCCCCCGCACATTGACTCTGTACCGTACCCCCTGTATATAACCTCCCTACTGTTATTTTATTTTAATGCTGCTCTTTAATTATTTCCTTTTTAAATTTTTTTATTAAAAACTGCATTGTTGGTTAAGGGCTTGTGAGTAAACATTTCACTGTAATGTCTACACATGTTGTATTCGGCGCATGTGGCAAATTAAATTTTTATTTGATTCGATTACTGTATATACAGGGCAATCGGAAAGTATTGAGAGCCCTTGACATTTTCCACATTTTGTTACGTTACAGCCTTATTTTTAAATGGATAAAATGTTATTTTTTCATAATCAATCTACACACAATACCCCATTATGACAAATCAAAAACAGGTTTTTAGAATTTTTAGCAAATTTATAAAATAAAATAAAAACTGAAATATCAAATTTACATAAATATTCAGACACTTTACTCAGTACATTGTGGAAGCACCTTTGGCAGCGATTACAGCCTTGAGTCTTCTTGGGTATGACGTTACATTCTTGGCACACCTGTATTTGGGGAGTTTCTCACATTCTTCTCTGCAGATCCTTTCAAGCTCTGTCAGGTTGGATGGGGGGGCGTCACTGCACAGCTATTTCCAGGTCTCTCCAGAGATGTTCGATCAGGTTCAAGTCCGGGCTCTGGCTGGGCCACTCAAGGACATTCAGAGACTTGTCAGGAAGCCACTCCTGTGTTGTCTTGGCTGTGTGCTTAGGGTCGTTGTCCTGTTGGAAGGTGAACTTTCGCCTCAGTCTGAGGTCCTGAGCACTCTGGAGCAGGTTGTCATCAAGGATCTCTCTGTACTTTGCTCCGTTCATCTTTCCCTCGATCTTGACTAGTCTCCCAGTTCCTGCTGCTGAAAAACATTCCCACAGCATGATGCTGCCACCACCATGCTTCACCGTAGGGATGATGCCAGGTTTCCTAAAGACATGACACTTGGCATTCAGGCCAAAGAGTTCAATCTTGGTTTCATCAGACCAGAGAATCTTGTTTCTCATGGTCTGAGTCCTTTACGTTTCTGGCCACTATACCATAAAGGCCTGATTGGTGGAGTGCTGCAGAGATCGTTGTCCTTTTGGAAGGTTCTCCCATCTCCACAGAGGAACTCTGGAGCTCTTTCAGAGTGACCATCGGGTTCTTGGTCACCTCCCGGGCCAAGGCCCTTCTCCCCCGATTGCTCAGTTTGACCGGGCGGCCAGCTTTAGGAAGAGTCTTGGTGGTTCCAAACTTCTTCAGTTTTTAAGAATGCTGGAGGCCATTGTGTTCTTGGGGACTGTCAATGCTGCAGAAATGTTTGGTACCCTTCCCCAGATCTGTGCCTCGACACAATTCTGTCTCGGAGTGCTTGAGATGTTTCTAAGTTGTAGAAATATCTCAAGGAGGATCAATGGAAACAGGATGCACCTGAGCTCAATTTCGAGTGTCATAGCAAAGTGTCTGAATGTTTATGTAAATAAGGTATTTCTGTTTTTAAAAAATATATACATTTGCTAAAATTTATAATTATGGGGTATTGTGTGTACATTGATGAGGAAAATGTTTTATTTCATCAATTTTAGAATGAGGCTCTAACGTAAGTCAAGGGGTCTGAATACTTTCCGAATCCACTGTAAATACAGTATTTTAGAGTAATTTTTACAGGAAACTACCAATTATAGTTAATAACAGTATTTTTCAGCATTTTACCCATAATGCAGTGCAATCTACAGCATTAATTCTGTAAAACACATTTAAGGTACTGTGCATTCTACAGTGATTTACTGTTGAAATTACAGAAAAGTCTTACAGTGTAGTTGGGCTTCCAGACTCTGTAGGGCAGGCTATGCGCGTATGATTAGCAAATAATATACATGATCCTATATGGCTAAACTATGGTCTTCTAGTATGTTAAGTTACTTTTATTTATTTATGCCACGAGACGTACTGGATCCGTCCAAATAGGTTCTGGAACGCAGGCTGTCAAAACGGAGATGTGCCGGATCCTGTTCCGGCAGAATCCGGCTCAAATTAAGCACTGAGTCAAGGGATATACTTACAAATGCACTAAGGTTTTCAGCCCCTGGAAAGCATATGGCGATATTGACTTGATTTGGTTGTTCTCGATGAAACTGAAAAAGGTAAATACATTTGATGTGTAAATTCAATACAACTCATATGAAGTAGCTTAGAAAATGAATAAAAGACCCAAAGGTGTTGATAAAGATCAAACTGTTGTCCAAACCTACTGTTAGGGGTATATTATTCATTATTCATTATTTTAAATAAAATTCAGACTCATTTTGTGATGATATAACACAGAAAAGCAATTTACTTACAGGTACTCCAGATGGGGAAGACCCAGGAAAGCATCCTCGTTTATAGAGTCAAAAGTGTTGGCTGTGAACAGGCTGGGGAAACAAATGGGATGTTCAAACACGGTAAAAAAATACATTAGCATGTGCACAAGGGGTGTTACACTGTCATTGTTCACAAAAAATCGCTACAGTATTTAAGGACAAGTAATCTGGTCATAACAAGGTAAAGAGGTGGACAACCAATAGTCAGCTCAAGAGCCTTATATTTGGATATCTATAAGGCTATGGTCAGACCTTTCTGACAATCAAAAGGGGGAAAGAGCATTATCCCCCATCCCTCTTTCTAGACTGACATTTTGACACAAATTCACAATAAATTTAGATACAGTGCATTAGGAAAGTATTCAGACCCCTTCCTTTTTTTCACATTCTGTTACGTTACAGCCTTATTCTAAAATGAATTAAATAAATAAAAATCCTCATCAATCTACACACAATACCCCATAATGACAAAGCGAAAACAGGTTTTTTGAAATGTTTGCAAATGTATTAAAAACAGAAAACAGAAATACCTTATTTACATAAGTATTCAGACCCTTTGCTATGAGACTCGAAATTGAGATCAGGTGCATCCTGTTTTCACTGATCATACTTGAGACGTTTCTACAACTTGATTGGAGTCCATCTGTGGTAAATTCAATTGATTGGACATGATTTGGAAAGGCACACCTGTCTATATAAGGTCCCACAGTTGACAGTGCTTGTCAGAGCAAAACCAAGCCATGAGGTCGAAGGAATTGTCCGTAGAGCTCCGAGACAGGATTGTGTCGAGGCACAGATCTGGGGAAGGGTACCAAAACATTGAAGGTCCCCAAGAACACAGAGGCATCCATCATTCTTAAATGGAAGAAGTTTGGAATCACCAAGACTCTTCCTAGACAAACTGTGCAATCGGGGGAGAAGGGAGGTGACCAAGAACCCGATGGTCACTCTGAAAGAGCTCCAGAGTTCCTCTGTGGAGATGGAATAACCTTCCAGAAGGACAACCATCTCTGCAGCACTCCACCAATCAATCCTTTATGGTATAGTGGCCAGACGGAAGCCATTCCTCAGTAAAAGGCACATGACAGCCCGCTTGGAGTTTGCCAAAAGGCACCTAAAGGACTCTCAGACCATGAGAAACAAAATTCTCTGGTCTGATGAAACCAAGATTGAACTCTTTGGCCTGAATGCCAAGCGTCACATATGGAGGAAACCTGGCACCATCCCTATGGTGAAGCATGGTGGTGGCAGCATTACGCTGTGGGGATGTTTTTCAGTGGCAGGGACTGGGAGACTAGTCAGGATCGAGGGAAAGATGAACGGAGCAAAGTACAGAGAGATCCTTGATGAAAAGCTGCTCCAGAGTGCTCAGGACCTCAGACTGGGGTGAAAGTTCATCTTCCAACAGGACAACGACCCTAAGCACACAGCCAAGACAACGCGGGAGTGACTTCGGGACAAGTCTCTGAATGTCCTTGAGTGGCCCAGCCAGAGCCTGGACTTGAACCCGATCTAACATCTCTGGAGAGACCTGAAAATAGCTGTGCAGCGACGCTCCCCATCCAACCTGATAGAGCTTGAGAGGATCTGCAGAGAAGAATGGGATAAACTCCCCAAATACAGGAGTGCCAAGCTTGTAGCGTCATACCCAAGAAGACGCGATGCTGTACTCACTTCAAAAGGTACTTCAAGAAAGTACTGAGTAAACGTTCTGAATACTTATGTAAATGTGATGCTTCCATTTTTATTTTAAATAAATCTGCAAACATTTCTAAAAACCAGTTTTTGCCTTGTCAGTATGGGGTATTGTGTGTAGATTGATGAAGAAAAAAATCTGTTCATTCAATTTTAGAATAAGGCTGTAAGGTAACAAAATGTTTAAGTCAAGGGGTCAGAATCCTTTCCGAATGCACGTTATGTAATGAACAATTTTGTTTTGTAAAAACGTACCTGCCTAAGCCTCTCCAGTAGTGATTGATATATAGGCTATGTATGAGATGGATAGTTGTGTACTGGGGGCATGATGACTGAGTCAATTCCACCCTATGAGACAAGGCTGAGTGATGGGGATTCCCTTTTCCAAAGAGGGATTCCCCCTTAGTCTATAGGCTACCAGGATACCAAAATAAACACAGTCTAACACAATAGGGGCATTTCCCGTGAAATAACATGATCTGTTATGTGTTTCATTATAAATATTTTGAAAGCAAACATAGGCTATTCTAATCTAAAACCCATTTGTCAATGACAATATTGGCAACAATAACTGAGTCATCTGAAAATCCACTGGGAGAATTTTCATGACGCTTATACAGAAAGAGGTATTGTAGTGAATAGCCCGACCAAACGTCACGCACGGTATTCTATTTAACAGTCCAACGCTGCATATTCCCCAAACACGCAACGGACCATCGCCAAACATTCACTAGGACTAGATGAGGAGACCCAATGATCGCACAGCTTTTGTCTATTAAAACATGGCGATGATCACCTCACAGGAGACTGACACATTGTAACAAAGCGTTAAGAACAAAAAGCACCGGAGAGAATCTCACAGGAGATGCAGAGCGGGCGTGTGGATGAAGCTTTCTTTAGGGATTTCACTGAATCCGGATTTGACGAATGATCTGTTGGGAAACCACACAAGCAGAGAATTTCATAACACTCGAATAGCCGACGTCTAGAAACAGCGTCTCTTCATACCAAATATTTAGGTGACATGTTTATCCCTGCAGTCATACATTACCAGCATTAATAAAACAAAAAATAACATAACTTGTATTATAATATGTGATATAATTCATTGTAATTTCAGGGATTGTCTTGAACATGGATCAATCATAATAACATGCATATAGACTTACAGTGACATGACATCCGTGGGAAAGCTGCGAGGAATCAGTCTTGCGCTTTCACATAAAGCATTATCTTTGGTACATGTACATGAAGCGGGACAACGGGGCGTTCTCGCTCGCTTGCTGACCACTACAAGTAAAAAACATGCAAGCAAAAGTAAGACGAATCCTTTGGAAATGTTGCGTGCATATCCCATCCTCTCGAACCGCAATGGGCACGACCTGTGCGCCGAATATTCCTGTTCATAAACCAGGGTCTCTGTTTTTAGTCACGCTATCTGTCCTTAGAGGCCAAGCGAGCCTTTATTTTTTCAATCTTCTTGTTTATGCTCTCAAGTGTCGCTGCCTTGAACGTAATTTCATCCGCACTGCCCGACGTCAAATGGGAAAGAGAGGTAGAGAATGTAATCACAACATACGCGCTGATTAAAATACCAGTTGGCACCGTAACAAAAATGCGGTCTGGAGGCAGGTGGGTAGCGGAGCAAGAGACAACCCAGTAAGAAAAAGGATGTTGAAAATACATATTTTTGACGTTTTTTCCAGACGTCGACATCGGGTGCACTTTTAGGTGCTGAATGAGAGGGGAAAAATACATATTTTCCGGATGTAAAAACGACACCTTTCATGGGCAAATTTCAAGTACAAATTTGATCGATGCAGACCAGATCCAAATCTGAACGAATCATAGATGTCTAGGCTATGTTTCACAAGTATGATCACTGTACAGTACGGCATAGTTTAGTACAGTATAGCACAGTAGAGTACAGTATATCTAATTCAGTAGAGTACAGTACAGTTTAGTTCAGTAGTAGAGTACATTAGAGTAAAGAAGGGTACAATACAGTACACTATATTTTACTTTACTCTACTGTGCTCTACTGTATTGTACTGTACACTACTGTACTGTACTCTACTTTTATTTACTGTACTGTACTGTAATTACTGTACTCTGCTATGCTCTACTGTACTGTATTGTGATGTACTGTGCTGTCCAAACTTGTGACCAGAACAAATCTGAACCAATTATAGATGTCTATGTTTGGGCCAAATCAAGTCCAGACCAGACCAAATCTGATCTAATTATAGACGTCTATGATTGGGCCAAATATAGGCCTGGACCGGACGTCTGTGGACTTAAAAAATCAGGCTGGACAAAATCTGAACCAAACATAGACGTCTATCAAGGCTGGTCCGGACTGCAACAAAAATGCTTAGTGGGAAGGGAGCATTGCTGTCCAAAACCACACCTTTATTTAGCAAAAACAATTTTCAGGCTCCAACAGCCTACCGTTTCTCTTGATAGCTTAATATATAGTCAGTCCATCATAGGCTAGTCTGTATCGTAATCCGTGAATCAGTAGAAATGATTTAGAACCCCTTGTGAGCTAGAATATGTTCTCCATTGCACAGATACACGCTGTCATCCTATGCGGAGGACAGACAGTGGCAGGGAAACCCACGTTTTTTAGATGTGCTAGATCATCATCTAATTGACTCTCATTTGAAATATCTGAGGGGGCTTGTAATGATATTCCTTTAATTTAACTTGTATTGCCTCTGCATATGCTAGAATGCTCCATGGGAGAAGTGGTATCCCACTGACATATTGGCAGCTCTCTTTCTGTTGTCTTTGAATAGCAATTTCAATGCATTGGATTAACCCCAAAACAAAGGATAGGCCAGTGTATTTGTATTTGCATTAGTGTCTATGTTCATATCCAGACCATGCTTACCCAGTGAGCAAAATAACATTGAAAATACGTATTTAGAGTTATTTTCCAGACGTTGAAATTAGGTTCATCTTCGTTCTGGACTACGAAAAAATGTATTTTCCAGATGATGAGAATACTTAAAAAATACATATTTTCCGGATGTTGAAAATACGTAATTTACAGACATTGAAAAATATGTGTTTTATGGGTGTTAAAAATACATATTTCACGGATGTTGAAAATACTTATTTTCTGGTCATTGTTTCTATTGCCAAATTTCAACCGTACTTACATTCACTTATATCTACATGTCAATGAAAAAAGCATATCACATTCAACCATTTTTATTCCAATTAAAATATGAAAATGGAGCAAACTAAAGATCCCAGTATAGAATATTTATTATTCCTTCCACCTGTCACATGCACTTACTGTATGTAAGCCTTTTCAAAAGCTTTAGAACAGGCAGTGATCATGTTCAAAGCTTCCAGACCAACAGAAAGAAAATACAGAACACTTCAAATACAATAACATTCTCAGTAACTGTCACAGAAACGTTTTTCTTGCTATATCTGTGATATGTGGTTGGTTATCTACCTTAGTTCATTTTACTGACTGTAAATCGCTCTGGATAAGTGTGTCTGCTAAAATCCCTAAATGGCAATGTAAAAGGAACACTGGCAAAGCATGTTGTGTATTAATCTAATGAGCTCCGCCCCCAAACTAGACCACATTTGGTCGGTCCGGTTTGGACAGCACAGTATGGTACAGTACAGTAGAACATAGTAGAGTTTAGTTCAGTAGAGTACAGTACAATAGAGTTTAGTTCAGTAGAGTACAGTACGTAGTGTACAGTACATACAGTACAGTAGAGAACAGTACAGTAAAGTACAGTAAGGTACAGTAGAGTACAATATAGTAAATTATACTGTACTTTACTCTATTGTTCTATACTGTACTCTACTGTATTGTAATGTACTGAACTATACTCTACTTTAATGTACTGAACTGTACTATACTCTGCTGCGCTCTACTGTTTGAGTGAAAAAGAGATGAGTGCTAGTAGCTGAAAATAACTATTTCCCGATTATGGATAATTACAAAAAATACTTTTGTCATAATCATATTCTGAAAATCCTCCATATCAGTTACGATACTGATTTTGTCTGAGTACTCGGTACACCCCTAGTACTTTCTGACTGTAAGACAACAGTTGCCTGCCCACCTGGCCCGTCCAAACTACACCTAAACTATATTGAAACAAATTTCACACATATAATAATAATAATAATAATAATAATAATAATAATAATAATAATAATAGATGTGTTCGAAAGGCAAGATTAAATTGACAAAAGTTATATTATTAATTGTCAAATTGAGAATGAAGAGACTGAGGATGTCACAACTTTCTCCGAAGCTGCCTCCCCTCCTTGTTCGGGCAGGCTTCAGCGTTCATCCTCACCAGCCTTCTAGCCACTGCCGCTCCATATCTCATCATTCCATTTGTCTTGTCTTGTCAATTACACACACCTGGTTCATATTCCCCTCATTAGTACGTGTTTAAGTGTTCCCTCTGCCACCCTTGTCCTTGTGGGTGATTGTTCATTGTGAGGATTAGTAGCTCGGTTGAGCTCAGTATTTTGTATTGCCAGGGTTTTTTCCCCGTGTGCATGTTTGTTCCAGTGCACCTGTTTTGCGCACTGGACTAGTTACGCTGGATTATGGAATAAACTCTGTATACTGTGATTTACCCTCCTGCGCCTGACTCCTTCAAATCACGCATGACAGAATCACCCACCCGCTATCAGCAGGAAAGGAGCGCATGCCTGGAGTCGTGGCACGGGTCCAGGAGCATTCAACAATGCTAGCCAGCTTGGGAGAAGCGATGGATCGGGTTCTCCAGGTTGTCCAACGCCTGGAGAGGAGAGGACCCAATCTGTCGAGACCAGCTGGGCAATCGGATCCAGCCTCCCACACCCCAGCGGGATCCATATATCCCGACAACGGGAGTTCGACGGGACAGCTGCTCTCTGCCAGGGATTCCTCCTCCAACTGGAGCTCTACTTCTCCAGCATCAGGCCGGCCCCATCGGAGCGGGAGAAGGTGTCTGCCCTCATCTCCTGCCTGTCGGGGAAAGCCCTGGAGTGGGCCAACGCGGTATGGAACGAAGGAGGAGCCTCGTTGGACAACTACGGGGAGTTCGCTCGCCTCTCAACTACGGGTTGAGAGGCGGGCGAGCGGCTGGTCCACCTGAGGCAAGGGACGAGGACTGCTCAGTACTTCGCCTTGGAGTTTCTGAAGGGAGCTAGCCTGCCGGGACACCATGTTGTCCTTCACGCAACTGGTGGACATGGCCATCCGTTTGGACAACCTGCTGGTGGCCAGAGGACGTCCTGGAGGGGGGCTGCCCATTCCAAACCCGGCCGACTCGGATCACGAGCTGATAGAACTGGGTGGAGCCGCGATCCGAGAGAGCGGAGGACAACTGCGCCAGTGTCACTCTGGTGGCACGAAGGGACATTACACCACACGATGTCGTCAGCGTTCTTTTGGGTCTGGATGCGGCAGGCAGGGCACTCTCGCATCACCCCAGGTATCGAACACCCACACTTGTTCAGAGTCCTCTGCTGCCCACTGTACCCTACTCATCCACTTTACTGATCACATTGTAGTTCCCCAGTCGATTCAGGCGCAGCTAGGAACTTTATTGACAGGGTATTCTCACACAGTCTAGGCATTTAATTGGTTCCCCTATCCATTCCACTCCCTATCAGAGCACTTGACAGTCGACAATTAGGGTCCCGGTTTGTTAGGGAAGTTACCGCACCAATCACCATGGTTACCCACGAGACTCATTGCGAGCAAGTCACTATTTTTTATCATTTAGTCTCCTGCTTTCCCTTTGGTACTATGTATCCGTTGGTTAGCACTCCACAACCCCACATTCTCATGGCCACAGAGGGTTCTCACGGGGTGGTCGCGAGAGTGTCAAGGTAGATGTCTCTGTGTTTCCGTTGGTGCAACCATGGTGGAAAGTCCAGACAGTACTTCCACCATGCGCATTCCCCCCGAATACCTCGATTTGGTGCACTCGTTTTTCAAAATGCAGGCGACCAAGTTACCACCTCATCGGGCAGGGGATTGCGCGATAAACCTCCGGGTAGACGCTCTGCCATGTGTATCCCCTGTCACAGGCTGAAACGGAGGCTATGGAAACATACGTCACAGAGTCCCTGTGCCAGGGGTTTATACGTCCCTCCACTTTACCCGCCTCCTCAAGTTTCTTTTTTGTGAAGAAGAAAGACGGCGGTCTGCGCCCTTGCATTGATTATCGATCACTGAACAAGGAGACGATACGATTTAGTTATCCTCTCTCCCTCATTCCTTCAGTCAATAAATGGGGTGCGCTTCTTCACCAAATTAGATCTCCGGAGTGCGTACAACCTGGTGCGTGTCCGAGAGGGGGATGAGTGGAAGAC